TTGTGTTGCTCTCTGAGCTACCATTTGGAGCAGCCTAAGATTGAAGCTGTTTCATGTAAGACTCAGTTTCCCTTCTCACCAGAGTGAGTGGGAGAGGTTAGGTAATACTGTTAGTTGGCATTTTGTCCACTGAGACCAGTTCATTGCCCTCCCAGAGTACAGCTTCTGCGAAGTTCTTGGGGGCATTCTAGCAGGTCTAGTCAGGCCTCAGTGGCTTTGTTGGGTTGGGCCTTCTTTGGAGAGATTAGATCTATCCACCCCCAGGGCTAGACAGTGGCTGATCTCTGATATGGGTCCAATTCTCAGGAGCCCTATACTGATCATCCATTCACTGCTGCCCATGAGCACAGCCTTCCTGGGCTTAGTCCCCAAGTGTATTCACTCACACCAGCTTAGGCTCCTGGCTCTCTTCAGCTGCTCATGTGAGCCACTACCACAAAGGAGAAGCTAATGGGGCTCCCCTTCGCCCTACGCACTTGAATCCCACTGGCTACAGACTGTTCCTATGTTCAGCCAGGCACACCCTAGGTCACCCATTTGGTGCCTGCCAGGATATTGTGGCAGAATTTGCTCTGATCTCCTGCCTCCAGGAGGGAGCTGTCCTTACAGTGAGATTGCCTCAAAATGGCTCCACTCCAGCTCTCTCTGACCAGTTGAGATACCGAATGTGCTTTTCAAGCACCACTGTACAGTACAGTCTCTGGATTAGCTAAATTTAAGCAGCTTTTTAAAAAATTTAAATTTTTTTTTAGTTGTAGATGGACACAGTACCTTTATTTTATCTATTTATTTTTACGTGGTGCATAGAATCGAACCCAGCCCCTCACACATGCCTCACACATGCTAGGCAAGCACTCTACCACTGAGCTAAAACCGCAGCCCCTTGGCAGCTTTCTTTTGATCTTAGCTTTTTCCTTACCAAATCTCTCTTCTCCCCTTCCCTCTGTGGTGAGTTGGTGCTGCCATCGCCACTTTTCCATGCTGGGGTAGCCACCAGGTCAGCTCCAATGTATTCTTTTTTCTTTGTTTTTTGTACTCAAATTCCTGAGTCTGTAAACCACTTTGAATGTCCAAAATTGAATTTTAGTTCAATCCCTATTTTACCCACCTCACTGAGAAGCTGTACACCTACTGCTTTGGTCCCAAGCCACTGCACAACTTGGAATGAGGCTGTTCTCTACTCCGCAATCTTCCTTGTGCCTCATATATAGATTTTGAAGTTTGAATTTGATAGATTAGACATATACCCTGAAGTATTTACAGGTAAAATGATAAAATGTCTGGGATTTGCTTTCAAACATTCCAGAAAAAAAAATAGAAAACGTGGAAAAAAAAGAGTTGGAGAGGGGTGGGAGAAACTGAAAAAGAATGTCGGAAACTTGAAGGTTTCTGAAGCTAAGTGGTAAGTACTTAATGCTCATGTTTATTCTTCTACATGCTTTTATGTGTGTTTGAAATTTTCCATAATGAAATGTTTAAGGCCATGCTAAAGAGTGAACTTTTCTCTGTGGCTCCCTGAAACCTGTGAAGAGTTTTGGCCTGAGGAAGGGCATGGGAAGGGCTGTGAGACCTTAAAAAGCTTAACCTATGACAGTACCAGGAGGAGAAGGATCAGACCTTGATGAAGGTGGTGGCTATGAGAATAGAAACTTTTTAAAGAACTTATAGAGAATATAACTGCAAAAGAGGTACTCTGGTGGTTTGGTAGTACAGAAGTGAAACAGATGCTGAACCAGAAAATTCCCTTCTTCCTCTTTAGTCAATAGCAATCATTGTCCTGGAACCAGTATACTGGGGACTGTAAGGACAAGGAGGAGAGGGAAAAGGGATCTTCACTGAGGAGGAACTGAACCAGGTCTTTGTACTAGATGAAGTGGAAACCAGTGGAGAAATGAAGAGTTCTGGGCTGGTGTTTTGTTTTTTCATGAGTAATTTCTGACTTGTAGTTTCATTATAAAATTCATGGGTAAAATGGTTTGATCATCTGTCTCTATTTTCACTGGAGAAATGGGAAAAATATTGTTAATGATACAAATCACTTTTATTAGTTAAGATTGAATTATGTTGTTCATTTATGAAATTGAACACTTTAAAAGAGTATTTGTCTTTAATCCCTAGTACCACCAAAAAAATAAAAATAAAAAAGAGAAAGAGAATATCTGAGGAGTTAAATGAGTTTATTTATTTATTTTTAATATTTATTTATGTATTTTTTTAATTTTAGGTGGACACATTATTTTGTTTTTATGTGGTGCTAAGGATTAAACCCAGTGCCTCACGCATGCTAGGCAAGCACTCTACCACTGAGCCACAACCCCAGCCCCAATTAAATGAGTTTAAATGACAAGGTCTGGGAAAACAAAACTTTGAGCTATAACAAATTAATTAAATTTTAAATTTATGTAGCTTCTAATTTATCAATAGAAAAAATATTAAAAATAAACCCTAGATCCAATAGAAAATAGCAGTTGGTAGAGATTAGAGAGAAACAGTAGTATTCCAGCCCTCTGTAGTCAAAGATAATTAGTACATCACATACAAACTATTAATAAGGTATGACATAACAAGACCAAGAGATACCCCAGCGAGAAGTTTCTTGATCACCTTTGCTGCTTTCTTGATTCTTATTTTTCAAGAGATTCCACTTTTAACTGCAGTCTATAAGAATAGACCATTTCTACGATTAATGCCGTGTCATTTTCTGTCTCAGTTTAACACACCATCTACAAAGGACTGAAGCTAAGGTCAGGGAACAGAGATAAGACCTGCTGTATCTAGTGAGAGGGAAAGCAGTGTTGGAACACACCACATCCTTTAGCCTTACTACTTTGGAGATTCCCTGGCAGGACTTATTCCCTTAACCAAGATGTCATCTACCACCCCTATGCTTATACAGTCAGAAAGAAGTAAGGTTTTGGTCAGATTTGCTGCTGGATTTGGGACTCAATTAAAATTGAACTTCTAATTCATGGTAGCTGTTATAAAAAGCTCTCAGGAAAGTAAAAAGAGAAGGCGGCAATTTCTAGCTAAAAGCAAGAGAGGTGGTTTGTATTTTACTCAGGAACTCATGGCTAAGCCGCTGGGTCACAGGAGGATTGAGGATTGAGGGACACATAGTTGTAAGTCTTATTGTGGAGAAGGCTGAACTGTCATCAGTGCCTGATGGAAATGAGAGCGGGGAGGCGGCAGCAGTATCTCTAACAGCACTACCTCCCTTATTGCATTGTCAGAAGAGAAAGATAACCTGAGAATAGGCATCCATTATCTCTTTCTACAAAGGGATTAGTGTGGGTTGCAAGAAATTAATGGCTTTTGAGTTACCACAGAATTACTAATGAATGTCAGGACCAGAGATGTAAAGCAGATAAAATAGGCTTTTCTCTGCCTTATTTCTCTCCTTTCTCTTTTGGTTTGCTATGTTAAGATCAAGATCTTACTCTTTCTTTCTATAGTCAAAAGCAAAAATTTTATCCTCTGGGTGTATGACTTGTGTTCTTTAGGGAATGATTCAATTAGTTTTTGACTGTCTCCAGTGTGTGTTGGCACAGATTGAGAAACATCTCAGAAATTAAAACCTTGACCAGGGAGGAGTGCTTCCTTTTGCATGGCTGTCATTGTCATGTCTGATTAAAGTCTCCTGTGGTTCCTCAATTGACAGTCCCCTTTTACTAAAGTATTAAACTGGAATATATTGCCACTCATCAGGGATTACAGGTGGCTTATTTAGATAAACATATGAAATGGAAATGGAGAAAAGAGGAAGGCAAGAGAACTAGACATACTATGCACTGGACATTGTGCTAGAAGCTTGATTTATAATTCAACAAGTACTTATGAAACACCTACTAAGTACCAGGCATAGTATTGCATGCTATCGCATAAAAACGAAAAGAGAGCCAGGTGTGGTGGTGCGTGCCTGTAATCCCAGTGGCTCCAGAGGCTGAGGCAGGAGGATCTAGAGTTCAAAGCCAGCCTCAGCAAAAGAGAGGCACTTAGCAACTCTGTGAGACCCTGTCTCTAAATAAAATACAAAATAGGGCTGGGGATGTGGCTCAGTGGTCGAGTGTCCCTGAGTTCAATCCCTGGTAACCTGCCTCCCCACCAAAAAATGAAGAGAGCTTACTATGCAGTAGGGAAGGCAGACTTTTTTAAAAACAAACTTTAAAATGTATTTTTTTTGTTTGGATATTTAATTAAACTATTATAATGCAGCCTGTTAAAAGCCTATGAAAGAGGAACATAACTGACCCAGGGAGAAGTGTGTTCACATGAGGTGGGGGAGGGGCTGTGAGCTGAACAGACTCTTTTTCTGAAGGAAGGTAAATATGTAGTCCCTGGTTGAGGCAGTGGAAAGGAGCATTGCAAGCTAAGGGAGCAGCATAAGCACATTGAGGCTCCAAGAGAAAACTGCATGTAAGCAGAAGCCTAAAAAATGAACTGAAGGGGGCTTACCAGAGAGAGAGGCCCATGAACTGGCCTTGGGGACTAGTGGGTACTCTGAGAAATGGGAATTTGTGAGCAGTACATTTCACTGCTTTTTTTCATTGACCCTTCCTGGCATCATGAACTTAAGGAAGAATAAGAGAATCAGCAGGAATTCATTCACATGGCAGGTTTTCTCTTATGTATTTAATACTCTGTAGACTGTTACCTAGAAAGCAAGGAATCCCAAAAGAGTGTGATTGGTCCTAGGCCTACAGGGTATATTAAATCATTCTTTTTCCAGTATTGCAGTTTTCTGCACAGACTTCGTCATGTCACATTCATATCATACACCCCATTACTTACTTTTATACTCTCTCACCAAGGTAGTGCAGTTTTTAGATAAGAGATTTTTCCCTAGCTACATTTTGCCAATTAGATACTGTCCTGGAATTTTACCATTTATACTTGGTTTAATTTGAACCAGGAAAATATCAACCTTTGATCTGTTTGGTCTCTTGCGCCCACCTTCTTATAACTAATCGATACTTTTATGCCTCCTTTTTTTTTCTCTCTAGAACACAAGCAGACATTCCCAAACATTCTGAAGAAGGGTTACCTGGAAATTAGAAAGGACCATGACAGTTACTGGCAAAGCTGTTACGCAGAACTGTCACCTTACAACTTATACTTCTATAGCCTCGATAGCAGTGGGAATCAAAACCCCTATGCCACGTACCAACTTTCCCACTTCCAGAGCATCTCTGTTTTGGGCAATCTTGAGGCCAGGATGGTAGACACCATTCTCTATGACAACACTCAGCTACAGTTAAAGGCAGAGTCACCGTGGGAAGCTTTGGACTGGGGACAGAAGCTTTGGGAAGTTGTGCATGCTGCAGTGCCCGGTTACATGGGACGGCAGGATGAGCTGGCAAACTCACCAGGGCTCGGCCATCATGTTGACTATACACAGAATCATTGTTTACAAGAGAAATCCAACGGGCTGCTACCACCATCTCCTGTCTTGGATAGCTCCAAACAGTACCAAAACATCCTCAAATCAGGGACACTCTACAGACTAACTGTCCAAAACAACTGGAAGGCATTTACATTTGTGCTGAGCGAGGCATACCTTATGGCTTTTCAGCCAGGCAAGCTAGATGATGATCCCCTGCTGAGCTACAACGTGGATGTGTGTCTGGCTGTCCAGGTAGACAACCTGGATGGCTGTGACTCTTGCTTTCAAGTCATTTTCCCTCAAGATGTCCTCCGCCTCCGAGCTGAGACCCGGCAAAGGGCTCAGGAATGGATGGAGGCTCTGAAGACAGCTGCCAATGCAGCGAGGAGTTCAGAGCAAAACCTGCAAGTCACACTGAGGAGCAAACCCAAGGATCAGCTGGGTGGGCATGAACTCAGGAAGAACAAACGTCAGTCCGTGACCACCAGCTTCCTGAGCATTCTGACAACTTTATCTTTGGAACGAGGACTCACTGCTCAGAGTTTCAAATGTGCAGGTACAGAGCAAATTTTCAGCTTAAAGCTCATTAAAGAGCAATCTTGAGTCCTGTATTGGAATTTATTTTTTAAACATCCTTAATAAGACAGTCATAGATATCGCCTGTTTACAAAAAGCATTTCTCCTCCAAGGGATTTAGTATGTTAAAAAAAAAAAATCTGTCCATCCTCATACTACATTGATTAATAGAAACAGCTATGATATACCCCACTGAATCAAAATTACTTGGCTGAAGCCTAACCAGACTGGAATTTAGGCTTCCTAAGTAGGATGTGATTCCATTTCCTCTGCCTACTTGCATAAAGTCATGGTGACTATGGCTGTCACAGATTTTCTCATGAGAGACATTCAGTCCAAAGCTAAGTACTCGCCTCCTTAGGCAAAGCAAATGTCCATAGTCAGTAACTGTCATTGATCATGACCTTGTCAAATCCTGTTAAAGTGGAATCTGGAAAGTCAGCCTTGACAGAAAATGTGGAAATAGCTAAAAGCAGGGTAGATGATTATTCAGCAGATGACTCCTGAGTCACAATGGATCTGTGCCTCACCATGAGGAAGCCTAGGTTTTTGGAACTGCTGTGTAAGGGTGAGACACAAAATAGAGTTCAAGGCCAATACTCTGTTATGTCTGGAAACCTCAATACTGCTTCTCTCCTCTACTCCCTATTCTTCCTACTTCCCCCAAACCTAAAATGGGGGGAGGTATTAAAAATGAAATAAAAATTATTTCCTTTTTACTAACCCCACGATATTTGATAATAAATTTACTGTGATGACAACTTTAATTGGAAGTCTGTTGGGGAAGGTTTTAACTCAAGTCTGTTAGATTTAATAATGCTGTTTAAAAACGAGCAAGAAATTTACCTCAAGCTGAGACCACATTTAAAATTTTATTCTTGCTCCTGCTTTGAAAAAAAGCCAAATTATAACAAAATGAAAATCCACATTTAAACAAATATATATTTAAACAAATATATATATATATATATATATATATATATATATATATATATATATATATTTTAGTTGTAGATGGACATAGCATGCCTTTGTTTATTTTTATGTGGTGCTAAGGATTGAACCCAGTGCCTCACATGTGCTAGGCAAGCACTTTGCCACTGAACTACAGCCCCAGTCTCAAAATTCACATTTTAAATATAGTTAGTTGTGATGATGGTCTTTTCTACTGAAGAATAGTTTACTTAAAGGGAGGGAGTAAGTGAATAATCCTTGCTTTCCCCCAAAGTCTTTAGTGATTGTGGAGCAGAAACATGCAGGGTGGGATTGGAGAGATGAGAAGCTCCAAGCCAATTAAGAAGCCATACCAGGTATGTGCATGTATTTGCAGGTGTGATAGACCTTGTGTTAAGTCAGACAGCTTCTTGGAATTTTCTTTTTTTTCTGATATGGGGGATTGCACCCAGGAACACTCTACCTCTGAGCTACATTCCCAGCCCTTTTTAGTTTTTATTTTGAGATAGGGTCTTGCGAAGTTTACCCAGGCTGGCCTTGAACTTGGGTCCTACTGCTTCAGCCTCCTAGAATCACAGTGTGTGCCATCACACCCAGCTTTGAAATCAGTGTTGAAATAGGAGACACCAGTTTTAATACAGTTTTTAAGAAATTATTGACATTTCAGTGTCTTCTTATTCTGGTGTATATAGTATATTTCAAAGTTCAGGCATTTGACGGTAATTTATTGTGCTTACTATGGACATCCTGGAGTTATGATATACTTCTGTGGCATTATATTACTGAAAGTCCACAAATCTGTTGTCTTAATGGAATAAGGGAGAACAGCCCAGCTTAGTTTTCAAGGTAGAGACTGGCGTATCTGAATCAAATCCATATAGTAAAAGAGTGAAGAAAAGTCTCAGGTGCTACTCGAAGGTTGTCACCTAGCTGTCATTTATTCACCTTCCTCTCAGAAGTTTGTATCCTGATGGAGTGTGCATTGCCGCCCCTGTTCTGTATGGCAATATAGTGTTCTTAGCCATCAGAGGGAAGAGAAATGTAAGACAGAGAGAGCCCACTGCATCCAGCAGTAGGAGAAATGAAAACAGGAAAAAGATAAAAGAGAAGTGAGAAGAGACAGGGAAAGGGAAGCAAGGAGAAAAGAAGAAAGTATTATAGAATGAGCAGGAGTGGATCTTTCTGGTAGCTCCTTTTGGTTCTGTGTGATAGGATGCTTCCCTTTGCTGTCTAAATTCGGTGCTCACTAAATTTGGCTGATTGGAGGACAGTGGGAAAGGGTAGGGGAAGGGACTCAAGGGGGTAGGATGATAAGCTGCAGTTCATTTACTCTGCTTTTACCTTCATGCTTTGGTTTGGAACTAATGGGGGTACGGGTAGGTTTCTAATTTTGGGGTGAGGATAATGCTGATTTATATAGTAGGGCACATTCCAAAGCAAAAATTGATGTATTTCATTTAAATGTCACCTTTACTATCAGAGAGTGCTATATTCAGTTACTTTGTGATACATGTGGCTTACTCGCCTGCTTTTCATTCTTGATGCTAGCATATGGAATATTGGTTTCCAGACACAGGCAGGAGCACATTATCTCCTGTAGGGGGCAGAGTCTCAAAAGAAAAAGGCAAAAAAAAAAAAAAAAAACAAAAAACTTGTTAAGCAGAGCTCTGGATGTTTTTTAAATTACTTGGGAGGCTGTTCATTATATCAAAGATTATTATAGCAGATGGAACAGTAAAAATTGACCTGTGTTTCTCAGAAACACAGTTAATTTAAACCAGCTGCTTCTGCCTTTTGTACCTTTATTGTCTAACTTAGCATCCTCGTAAAAAGACACATTTAGTAAAAAGTAACATAGCATGTTTACCTTCTAAAACACCCAAAAGTTCAATATATTGGTTGTAGTGAGTTTGGGCCTTATATACTAGTTTAAGGAGAAGCTAATTCACAGTATTACATGGCTTTAGTGTGTCTCTTTAAACTCTAAGTTCATATATGTATATATGCATATGAAGTTCTTCCTCCTTTAAATAGTTTGGATGAATAAACTTTAAATGTGGAAGATTACATTGAGTAGCTCCTTATTATGTCATTGAGTTGCTATTCAGGGGAGCCACAAGCACTGGCTTTTAAGTCTATAAAACAGTACTGTTGGCCATAGTTCACTAAATTCTTTCTATAAGTGGAGACTTTTCCATATCCTTCTTTAAAATTTAAAGAGCCCCTGCAGAGAAAATGGACCACGACCATCCAAAAATGTCTGAGGTTATGGTTTTGAAAATATATGCTGATTGTAACTGTATCTTTCTTTGCATGTGCTTGGACTTTTGATAGTTATATTTGATTGTGTGTGATTACTCCATAACTTCCTTTCCAGCTCCTTGGCTGCCTGTGCTTGGGAAGCCCAACGACTGTGGTCTTGCTGTTCCTAAACTTACAGGGGTCCTGCCTGCATCCAGGGCCTTTTCGCTTGCTAGCCCTACTTCCTGAAATTTGAAAATTAAATTCTTCCATTCATTCTGTCATTTATTGTTTGCCCAGAATCTTGGGTGCACCCAGACATACAAGTTAGTATTGCAGGAAAGAAGATAAAAGTCCTTGTCCTCAGGAAACTTGCAGTCTGCTAGGAAACACAAGTTGTTTATCAAATAATTCAATCAGTGGCTGCCAAAAAGGCAGCTATGACAAGAGCCTTCTAAGTGGGGCCCACATATCAGAGAACTGTCAGAGGTGGTATGAGGTAGAATTAAATTAAATCATAGACCTCCAATCAGTTTTAGCCCACAAAAAACAAAAAAACAAAAAAACAGGCAGTTGATAAAGATGAACTTAATGTTTCACCTTGAAGTCACAGATTTTTGTACAGAGGAGCGCATACCAGAAATGATATTGTAGAACTGTTAATTTGGAAGTGCTTTAGTCCAACTTTTCAGGAACACCTCTGTAGCAGAAAATGAGGAATGTGTTTTCAGTAAAATTGCTGGTTAGAATTCAAAATTATAGTTGGCAATAGGGCATCTGTGATGTTTTAATAGTAATGCTAAAACAAATAATTATTTAGCTTTTTAAAATATTTAGGAAGGATGTACATGGTAAGTGGTTATAAGACTATTCCTAAATGCTGTAGAGATTGGATTATAAGGCAGCGACTGTGTTTTCTTTAGGAAGTTGACATGTGTACATACCTGTTTACACTCAATAGAGACATGGTTTTCTTGGCAGTAGCACACACAGATGTTTTTCCTATAATTTCTCAGCAATCAAGAAACCTAACAATTGAGTAGTACAATCAAAGAGCCCGGCGACTTGTTTATAGGTGTGACAAGAGTAGCAGAGCTCACCTTTGAAAGCATTCCTGTGTGACTGTTTTGTAATCTGGAGCTAAAACTGGATGACCCACTGTGGGGCAATGTTCCTGATTCTGAACTGAAGTTGAACATGTTAAGGAAGAAAACAGTGAGCCTCAGGGATCTCCTACACCATTTTCACAATGTTAGTTTTTATGGTTTTACTCCTTTGGCTGCTGTTTAACCTCTTGGGACTGCTGTTGATAATTACATATCTCTGGCATTAAGAGCTTTTTGCTTTCCTTTTTCTTGCCTCCAACCCTTGGGAGGGGTAAACCCAAGGGGGGGGGAAAAGTTTTGCTGTGAATTCTTCAGCCATTTAGTGCAAATTCCTGTAATTACCGGCATTGTGTCTTCTCTGAATGGCACATAATACAGCAGAAGCCATTCCTAATTGAGACCTTACAGGAGGTACAAATCCCCTCTTTGTTCAGACTGACAAATTAGTGCCAGAAAGTGGCAGGGTCCGAGTGGGAATCAAAGGCAAGAAACACAAAGATGGAACTTAAGGCTACAGTAATAACCCTCTCTTGTCCTGAAGGGAAAAAAAGTAATGACCAATGAAAAATGAAGGTTTTGTTTTGTTTTGTTTTGTTATAAATTCCCTTGACGTGACAGCACCTCGGGGCTGCTCTATTTATTTAGCAAAAGTGATTAAATAGCAATACAACAGGGCGGC